TATAGACGAGACTTTAGCTTATTTTTGTTCTTTGGTACTGTCATTGACTTTATGGACCTGTCAAGCTATAGCCATACATTACAAATCCATCCAATGGCGTAAGCACGTTGAGATGGATTAGAACCGAAAAAATTGAACAAAAATAGTAAGACAAACTTGATCCCCAATGAGGTGGCTATCTCCCAGCTTGGATGTTCGTTTTCCTTATGTTTACCTCACCACCCCCACAGACCCCCATTTCAAAATAATTAACACTTTAGAGAAGGAGCTGAATAAGAACCAAACCAGTCCAGTGAGGCTTGGAGAATGAAGATTGGAGGTTTACTTCTTTTCTTTGTGCTGCAGGCAATGGGAAGGGCTGCAATCTCTCTTTCAAAATTGGCTGATACTGCTCGTGAGGAGCTCCCCAGCACAATGGTTGCAATCAGGCTTTCTGGCATGGAAATAAGTGATCTCACTCTGGAATTGAGTGACTTAAGGTAACAAGTTAAGCGATTAGTAGCATATTATTTTCATTCTAGCATATGTCCATTATGAGGAATGTTTTCAGCCTTTGTTTTTGCATTCATCATAAGAGCAGGGAGTCCTTTTCGGGGGAAAATTAATCTCGAGGAATGTTAACAAATTTGAGTTAAAAAAATAAGTAGGCTTTTACTCGTGTGACAAAAGATGAAGAAAGAATACATGATTTATAAATCACCCAAGGCCTTGAAAACTTTTGGGAGTCAGTGATCCAATATTTTTTTTGAATAATTCATGATCATGGATTTGAAATCCTAAATTCCTAATGTAAAAGCTGTGGGGCAATGGCAATGAGCTCGGCAACTTCTCATTCCAAAAGACATTGTTATGAGCAATTAGAGCTTCTAATGTAAAAGACATATTGTTTTGCTACATTTTAATATTTTAAATGAACTTTAGTCTCTTCTGGTATACTAAAATAGACTACATTTAGTGGTCCAGGACCTGTGTAGTTGATAAATGAAGTTCTGATTGTGAGTGCCTACTCCGTCATAATACAGCAAGTCTGCTGGTGGAATGATTACTTTCCCAGGCAGATATCATATAGACTAAATTAAAATATGAAGAAATACAAAGCAAGACAAGAAGGCACAAATGCACGTAGAAATCAATTTTCAGCAGCAAAAATGGCAATAAAGACTTCTATGCTAGATGTATTAGCTTTAACAGTTCTAAGTGTAGAGAAATTTGTTGCTTCCCAGATAATATTAGATGTCTTTCATTTTGGCCAAACTCGTAGAATCACATTTAAGTCCGAATCCCATGGAGCTTTAGATTTGGCATCAAATCATACTATTGTTTTGCTCGATCATTTATTTACATATTGTTCCGAAGGTTGGTGGTTTTGTTTCAGGTACCTAATATTATAAATAGATAGAAGTAAGTGGTAGATAAGTGAGTAGCACTTATGTATCCCTCAAAATGTATGGATAAAAAGTGGCTTGAGTGTTTATAAACCATTCGTAAACATGAGCCAAACATCTGATTAAAATAAATGAACTTTAAATAACATTTATTTTCAAAGATATGTTGATATGTTGCTTTTTTCTTATTTTAAGGAAAAGAATAGTTACTCATTTTGATTCTTTGAAAGTGACTCTTACATTTCTGTCAAAATAAGTAATTTAGTTCCGATTTCAACCAATAAAAAAGTTAAATTATTTTAAAACTTATTTATTTGTAAGTTACTTTTTAAGCTTTGTGAAACATGCTCTTACTCCTTCCATATGGAAAACTTTCTCCTCTCGTCATCTCAATGTATCGACATTAATTAATTGGAGCTATCATCTTACATTGCTTGAGATTGATGTTCTTTTACGTGATTCTCAGCCAAGAAATAGCAGATGGGGTCAACAAATCTGCTCAAGCAGTGCAAGCAGCAGAAGCTGGAATTCGACAAATAGGTTCCCTTGCTCGTCAACAGACAATGTGTACGAATTATTTCTTCCGTTTTCTACTTATCCCACACCCCCTCCAGCTTTATTTTCTCTCCCGTGTGAAATGGATTATAATTAATGTCCTTAACAGCGATGATTCAGGAGAGAGCAAACTTGCCAACTATCTCACTGAAACCAGTTGTTACCGGGGCTGCATCGAAGACTTCTCGTGCTGTCAGCCAAGCCACCAAGAGTATCATGAATATGATATCTGGAGGTGAGCACAACTCCGGGGATGACAATGGTAATAAAGCGGATAGTTAAATTCACGATATTCTCATATTCTACTGGAAGATTCAATATTATTTTGATAGTTAAAATGCGGTTATGGTAGATAATCGGAATGTGAATTTGAAGTCTCCTTCACACTGACAAATAATGCAAACACATGATCCTTTTCAGAACTGAATGCATGTATGTATCTGATTCCTTGCCAGAAACGTTGGATTCTTAATCTTTATGGGTGATTTATACGAACTTCTGCAGTATAAGATTAATGTTTTTAACCAAAATAACTAGCTGGACTCGGATAATAATGATTGAAATTAAAACTTGGACGTGTTAAAATGTGTTGAGCCTCACCAAGACGCATGGCTCACTCGAGCTATACTGAATGGCTCCGGTAGACTTTATATAAAAATATAACCAAATAATCCTCTAAAGCCAAGAATTCTCTCCTGTGTTTTTCCTATAAATACTCCCCTGCCCTTTACACTCTACTTCGTCTCACAATCGTTATAACCCCTCAATTTCGATTCTGATATTTTGTTAAATTTTCTTAATTTCAATTTCTTACACTGTCGATTTCACTCACTATGAAAAATACAAGTGCTCGTTATACTTTTTATCATTTTTAAGCAATGGATTAAAAGATTTCTGCTTATGTTGATGATTCCAAGCAGTTGGATGTAGATGAAACCCTTTGCAATAGGCCCTCAACTAAAGAGAATAATACATCATCCTATGCGCACGACGAGGGTTTGAGTAAATACACGCTCTACTTGAATTATAATAATTGATAGTTAAAGTATGTGTTCACTCTGGTAAAGTGGTTTGAACAATACTAAAAACTAAAAAAGAAAATAAGTTATTCTTTTTCATCTTACTGACTAATTGTATCTAGTACACCGTACCAAATATGACCACATATAGTAGCTTTGAGTAGCATGTCGAATGGACTTGATCAAATTCCTTCTTTGAAGTAAAAATCATGTTGGAATCACTTCAAGTGAACTGGAGTATTGTTCTGTTGTCTCCCTCTGCAATTGAATCAAATCTATCATAGTTAGCATAGCCTTGGGAGTCATTTCAAGTACCTAAAAATTCTGGTAAAGGTTTATTGAAAACCAACCATTTCGGGCTTGCTGTTTCGCCATGCCTTCTCCAACTCATTGCAAACAAAATCTATCGCTGGATGCCCTCTGCTCGACTTAGCCAGCCACAGTACTGCAATTTGCAATATGGATTCAAAATCAACACCATTCACATTTCCATTCAGTCTTGTGTCCTGAAAATGTGTCTATGGACGTTTCCCCTCGATCACGTCGTTTGCCTGCATGGTTAGATGAATCTATAGTCCTTTTGTGGAGTGTGTCTGGGCGGATTCCCCCCTAGATCAAGTTCAATCACTCTTCGTCCAGATAAAAGTCGCAGAATTACAATACCATAACTGTAGATGTCCAGATAATATTAAAGAATACAAATAAGCTTAATATGAAATGCATAATGATGGATACATACTGAGAAGATTTTGAGCAAGATTTCTAGCTGAACAATAATCATAGACTTACTGTTCGTGACCTTCAATGCAGTAACCTAATAGAGAGACAAGGTTATAATGCCTGACTTTTGAAATATCTTCGATTACCTGAGTGAAACAATCCGGAGTATTCCTCACATGTATCTGTTTAATTGCTACTAGTCCACTAGGTAGCATTCCCTTGTAAACCTGCCCAGTGCTGCCTCGTCCTAGTCACTTTCTTTCATTGTCTAAGTCGACGGCATTCTTAATTTAGAAAATCTGTAAAGGCCAGCACACGTAGCAGCACTCTGTTCGCGCTGAACTGGCTTTTTAATATGCTTATGATTCTTGATTATATATGTTATCTGCATGATAAGCAATATCAGCGTGATCAACAGAAAGATTGATAAGATAGCTACTGCCAAAGTATCTGGTACATTTGAAAAAATAAATCAGCATTAGTGTTCCATTCACGTAGTAGTAGTGGTATGTTTTTAGTTCAGCAGCAAATGATACTCAACTCAAATAGATTCACACTTTGATTTTGATATAATTCACAGTTTTTGCAAAAGAACAATAAGTCATGTCAGAATAGAAATCCTCGTACTCTTACGGAAGTATATCTATATCTTGACACGGTGGAAACTCCTCGTGAATTTTTCTCTTAATGAAAATAGAGCAAATATAATGCTGGTCTAGCCAAAGCAAGCATCCGTAGAAATCATTTATAGTAGAGAAGTCCTCTATCATCCCAGCTGTCATTGAGATAATAATAGCAATAAGACAGACAGATTTTTCGATTCCATTTTCATTCACATTGAACTGATTCAACAAATTATCCCTTGCACTTAATATTGCCAAGGTGCAATTATTGCAGCCATCATCAAAGGAAGAGCTGAACTGAGAACGCTGGCTTGAGATATCTTGATAATGGGGTCTGTTTGATGTATGATAATTGAAGATTGGAGCAATGACTGCTTCCATAATATAGATGATCAAAAGCGCACGTTTGAATAGAAACAGAATGCTGACGCTTAAAGGGACGACTGCAGTTCTTCCATTGTTCTTCCGTGATGAAGATATTTCCATGTAGAATCAACTGCCTGCAGGGCTAATGGCTAATGCATGTGCAAAAGCATATAGTGCATTTTGGCAACAACGTGTTCTGGGCGAACCGTTCCTATCATTGATCTTTTCTTGGACATCAGTGCATCCATCAGTTGGTTGGTAAGGGAATCCAGTGAAATTTAACCTGCAAACTGCACATGCGTTCCAATTAAGAAAATCTTCGAAATTTGTGCAAGGATAAGCTTCTGAATCAAGAGAAGAAATGTTTTATGGGCAATATATGAAATTATAGTCCATCTTCAAGAAATGCACTATTCATTTCTAACAGCATCCTTTATAGAAATTAAACTCTCGTTTAAAGGGCTCTATAGAGTATGGGTTATGGCAGAATAAGTGGCGGTTCACAGGTTACAAAACTGGTTTTGTACAAGGGAAATATAGACGACTAAGCAAAACAATAAATACATGGAGGATGACCGTCTAAGAAGCACAAACACAGATTGTACATGACATGGGAAGTGCCTCGAGTATCACCATTTTAAAAATTATGAAAATAATAGGCCAAGTTATGATCGAAGTTGAACACGTGTCCGATGAGGGTTGAGCATTGACGCACCATCTCAGTAGGAGTTCGTAGCTCAATGCTTACTGTCATGTTCTATATATGATATGCAACTGATACTAAAATCACAAGTCCCGACTCAGATTTAAAAAAAATATGCATGTCAAAAGAAAATATATAAGTATAAACAAAGAAAGTGACTAAGAAAAGTATGTAACTGGATCTTCCAGTGAGGGCAATGAAACAAGTTGTACATAGAGACTAATGTACAATGAAAACAGTAGATTGAACGGTAAGTATTTTACTTTCATCTCGACTTGAGATTTCTTCCCCCAAGTCTTTCTAATTTCTGTTAATTGTTTAATAAAAAGAGTGGAAACAATTTATTTATTTTTTTCTGAGAAGAAATGCATGCAAGCATATTATATGGGGAAGTTCTACCACAATAGAACAAAAGAGGCTTTGAAGACAAGTTTACAACTTAATTTTTAGATTATTTTAACGTACTAATCATCGTTTGATTAGAAAATTGTCGCCCATTTATAAAAATCGTACGTGTCAAATCCATCTCGCTGAAATTGTTATCAGCCTATGTTTGGCCATCATTTTTTTTAAAACTCATTTTCAACCACACATTTTTTTATAAAATAATATTACACGTAAACTCAATTTTTATTTTTTATTTTTTAATCACACATTCTTCGACAAAACACTATTCCAAAATGCCTTTTGACCTAAAAATGAGGCTCAAACAAGGGCACAATAATCTTTCTTAGTAATTAGTGATTTACAGCATCAAAAATAACGTTGTGTTGGAAACACAAACCATTTTCTATTTATTTTACAAAATAATATTCTGATTTGCAGCCTCACTACAACAGAAATGTACAAATCCGCTTCAAAACAAAAATGTAATTATAACTTAGACCAATCAAAAAAAAAAAAACTAGGTTTCAATTTGATCCTTGGGAGTGAAGAATCTCAATAATTAACAAGATTCAAAAGGGCTGGATTTTTTTTATTATTAATTTTTTTTATGCATTAGGCATCTTCTCCAACCATTCTTGTGCTGATGGCGACATGCTTTATGGGCTAAGATTAATGCACCGAGTTTATCGGGTGTAACAACAATGATGTGATAATCACAAAAATTATAAGATAATACAACTGAAAAAGATTATTGTAGTTTCTTGTGCATCACAATGTTGTTTCCCTTATTATCTTGTAGCAGGTGACTTTCCACCTCGTAAAAGACAATGAAATTGTAGCATTTTCATATAACGTGCATGTTTACACTTCTCAACTAAGTGTTTTTATTGTTGTATAAGCATTAAAAAAAAAAAAAAGTTCTTCTGTACTTACTTTTATGTATAAAATCAGTGTAGAGGAAGTAGATCATAATGATGGTTCGAAACCTGGAGAATTTCTAACAAATATCGAACCTCGATAACTGAAATGTCAGGAATACGATACCAGAAAAGGAAGGTCGAACTGATAGAAAACTGCAAATAGTTATATATATTCCTATTCCGGAGTAAAAGTTGCACATCCAGACCATAATAATCAGATATACAGCCTCTTGGTAAAACCATGTTGCATAAGGAGCAACTATGGCAAATATTTACATCACAAACTTAAGGACCATGCTCATTTTAGGTTAATGAATCTAGCATAAGAAGTATTCCCAGATCAATTTTAAATTTTCCTTGAGCATTTCCATTGCAATATCAGTTTTGAAAGTTTGTTCCTGCAGTTGGAATAACAGGAGAAAGTAAGACAGAATCTATATAGCGTAGCAACAAAGAACCATTACATGAGATGAAAAAAGTCAGATATTCGAGTTCAAGAAGACAGGTTACAACGTGTTTTAAGTAAATTTATGTTTCCCAACATGTGGATAGGTTAGTTTTTTCTTATACGTAAAAAGAAAATGCTACTTATTTTGAGAGTAAGGTAGGAATTGTTTTCAAAATAAGTAACTTGCATATTACCAACCTTTTCTATTAACAAATTATTTATGTTTAAAGTTGCTTATTTACTTTTAATATATAAGCGAACTTATTATTTACACCTAAATTTTGAAGCGTAGCCAAATACACCAAATTTCTAGCAATTATTACAAGCAAAGCACTAAATAACAAGTTTAACCGTAGTGTGAGGCTATAGAGTCTATTAAAGAGGGATTCTCAAGGCAGGAATGCTTTCTATTTTGGTGTGTGTATATTAAGATTCAGATAGGCTAGCAACTATTTACAGCCATTGTTGGGCGTGCATCACTAATTTGTACCATGAACTGACATAGGCTTCAGTGATTAGGATGTGGTCTTCTATCTCACCTTAATTAAGATGATCGTGTCATTAAAATAACTCCCATCAATGTATTTCTTATGACACATTTGAACTGATCCCACACCAGAAATGCTCGACCATGGTCTTGGAATCTTGCTATAATTTTGTGCTAGATTCTAAAGTTCCACACCCCACGATTCAGCCAAAACCCTAATATGGTTTCGAAGTAGCCTGATAATCAAAACCACACAAATTACCTCCAAATGAAAAGGTGGTCAAATGTTAAAAGTTAAAACCCAGCTGTCTCTATTTATTCTCTTTCGTTAGCAGACTTGACGGGTTGCCTTGGCTATGACTCATAATTAGGATTTTTCGTGGGATTAAAGGTGGTCAATTGGTTAAAACCGCAAGCAGTAATTTGCATAAATTTTCAAACGCGGTTGATAGCAGCCAAAGAGACGATGATCATATACCCAAATTGTAGTTGATCTGTTAATCTTCTGGTAAGCAGGGAAGTTTGAAGTTGATGCACATAAAAACTATTTGGGAGGTTACTTTCTGATTAATGCCAACGAACAAAATGAACTTACATATGACCAATAACGCATTAAAAAAAAAAAAAAAAAAGAAAAGATCAAGAAAAATACTAACACGGAACATATTGCAACTTTTTTTGAAACAGAAAAAACTTACCGGCAGTTTTGGTATGATTCCAGGCATTTTCAGAATGACCTCTCTGGTGACCTCTCCAGCTGAAGATCTGAAATCAAATCGATCAGCATGTCGAACCTTAAGCCTCATTGACGAATTCTTAAATGTCTTTCCATTTGTATGCCAAACTCCGACAACAGTGTATTGATCCCCTGAAGACTGTTTACCCAAGGGCCACCTTAATCCACCCTTCACTTCTGAATCTAAAGTGGCAGAACCAATCAGGCTTTTAATGTTCTCAATCTCTTCATCCTGGATAAAGGAAAAAAATTAGCTAGTTGTCTACCCTCCCTAAGAAGGTCAAACCACAGAAGCAAATAAATCTCTTCTACAGGTAGTCATTTGAATCGTGGAGGCTCAAATTCAAATAAATCAAAGAAAATGAGAAAAGAAGAATATAGTTGATATGTAAAGGGAAATGCTAATTTTGAAATAGGAGGAATATTTGATGTGGAAGCTCAACGATAGATACACAAAAATCAAAATTAAACAGAAAACAACTCACTTTCAGAGCTACCAAAATTCTCTTGGTGCGTAGCATCAGCCTCAAATCTAGGTTCTTACCAAGGCAGGACATATCAGCAACCATGTGCCGCACTTGATTCAACTCAACCTGTGAATGGTAAAATTAATAAAGAAAAGCCATTACCATCTTCAATGAGCAATTGTGAGGAGAAAAATTAAGCAAAGCATGGAACATTTTGGATTAAGGAATAATAGACATATATGATTTTCTTAATCAACAATCAGATTTCAAACCGTTAAAGCTAGAAATTTTATATATACACACACACACACACACACAAATTTATGCAGTTATTTTGATTGTATAATAAATTATACGAAAAATTTCACTATTGGACTCAAACCTATTGCTCTAGTAGCAAGTCCGTCTCCTCTACAAAGATGCACAATCTCTCTGTAACAATGGAATATTCCAAGGCCATCACATGTCCAACTTTATGAAACTAGATTTTCTTCCACAACGTCCAGAAATTTGAAGTGAAGCTTGTTTCCATGAGCGTTATGTGTTAATTTAACAAAGATTTAGATGGTTTCTTCTGATGGGGAATGATTGTGCAATTATAATGAAAGGTTAGGGGTCAATTTGCTAATCTAGCAATAGGTTGTGGACCAATGATGGAATTTAGCAAAATATATACTCCTAAAAATAACAAATTTTTACAAGGCTAAGAGAAACTGAGACAAAAAAAAAAATAAATAAATCTTGCCTTGCAAAGTTCTAGCTTTTTACTGTCTTTCGTCACAGTACACTTGCAGGAGAGAGTTGAATCAGGTCGCATCTTGTCAGACAGCTACATAATAAGCATCAGATTTTAAAAAAATGGACGTAAACAGGGAAAAAAAAAAAAAAAGTAAAGAAAACCCTGTTAAAATACCTTTACATGGTATAGCTCCTGTTCCCCTTCCAAAACAAATCCAATTTTTGGGACGATTTCAGTTGTTATGCATTCCATATATAAGGGAGGAACATTTGTGTAAAAAGATTTCTTCAATTGTTTCAAAGTGCTTTCTGGCAGAGACTTTCCGCTAATGGATTCTAAAGTAAATGAACGGTTCCTGCATCAAACATATGAAAAATGTTAAAAGCTTCTTCAGTTGTTTGTAGCAGGTATATATAATCTAACATCAAATATTACAATTTTTAAGGCATATATGTTAAAATTTTACAGTTTCTATTTTAAAAATCGGCTAAAAATTCTATGCAACTCAGTTAATAGCTAAAAGCCAGAAATATCTTGTTTCTCTCTACTTTAGCTTATAAAAAACAAGTCTATCACATTCTTTTATATAGAGTAGAAAACTAGGGTGACCTAATAAAGAAATATGAATGCATAACAATTAATTGAACAGTACTAATAATGCTCTACACAGTCAAATAATTAAGGTCATATGCTTGAGTAGAGAATCAAATACTGATTTGCCCCGTACTTTTTCCATACACAGACATTTTTCAAGTATGCATCTATTAATTCGTATTTTTACTCCTAGTTCCCCCAAAACAATTTCTGTTGAATCTTAGTTCAGAAATCCTTGCTTCCTGAAGCGGAAATGCCTTTATAATTCCCAAAAGAAAACAACTTCAACATGTAAAAATTTGAAGCAACATAACCGAATGAAACAGCTATAATTAAACTTGATTTTTTAAAACGTTAGTGAATACTTCTAAAAAAGAAACATTTTCTAATTTAAAGAGAAGATAAACATGTTTAGATAAAAAGTAACTTTTAAAGCTTTAAACATGCTTGGCTAAGCTTAAAACTTTTCATTTTTTAGCCTTAGCAAAATATGCTCTGTACTAACCCATGGAAAAGAATTCTTCCGAATCGTGCAACCAGGGTTGGTTTTACTTCTTCAAACTCACAGGACTCCATGTTTTCTTTAACTTGCAGAAAAGAACGAAGCAAGTCTTGCTTCACCGTTTCAACTACAAAAACCCATGGGTTTGCCAACAGGACACTCTTGTCCTCGCAGTTTTCTACAATGAAAAATATTATCAAATGTTTACTGTAGCACTAATAATTCAGATTTTAGAATGATAAATTAGATGAAATGCCAAGAAGCTAAAACCCTATAGTAGTTTTCCCTACATTCTGAGCAAGTTTGGCCCTGCTTCAAAACCATTAAAAAGAAAACGTATGTAAAAAGCATGCTTTTAAAAGGGGCCAAACATGCCATCGGTAAGTAACTAATAAACAAAATCAAGATTTTCAGATACTTTGGAAATACATTGAGCAGAAGTACAATGTTCTGCAAATAATATCCCTACAAAGTACAATCTCTGAGGCACAAAGTACTGACTGATTTCTGTAATCTATTGTTCAATATTATAGGTTCAAATGACATGAAAAACAAATGCTAGTATCCTACAATAATATTTCGTAACAAGAAACTAGAGTAGGAGTTCGTTTTCGATTTAAGGAAAAGGGTTATGGTTCCACGCTTGTATTCTAACATCAAAATTTGTACCTAGAAGGCGTAACAGAAAGCACCATCATCGTCTTTTTTACTCATAAAAACCAGTAAAACAGAAAGAATAAATAAATAGAATATTGCAAAGTTCAACTGTTTGTACGTTATGCAACAATACCAGTACCTTCCTGAACAGAAGGAACAGCAAAATACTTCAAAAAATAAAAGGTGCTTCAAAATTCAAATCTTATACCTTCCTAGTATTAAAAAAAATATATATAGGGAAAATTATCAGACCTTTTAGATGATGATCGCTGATTACCAAAGTGAGCGGCTTTTCACCCGATTTTCGTTCATAGGATTCCAAAGTCACTGGCTCGAGCCTCGTAACGGTGAGAAGTAGAGTATCATCTGTTAAACCAACGGCGAACCACTTTGATATCGCATTTTCTGAGTACACAATGCTCTTTGCCGCCGCGCTTTTATCGGTAATATCTTTCGAATTAAAATTCCTTTTTCGCTTGAAATTAGGGTTAACAGATTCCGGCGGCAGCGTCGGTGACGGCGCAGACGATGAGCCTCCGCCCTTCGAGTGCCGCATGTGTGGCGGAACATATGCCATGCTACGACTGTTTGATTACTGTGAGTCAAAGCAGGTGCTGGAAGCCGTTGGAGGTGAGGTGTAAATAGTAAACCTTTCAATTTTCCGTTTAGCCTATTAATTATGAAAAAATGTTATTTCGACTACTTCAAGCGTCAAAGTTTCTCGTTTCAGTCCCTTTTGTTAGGGATTCAGTTTTCGGTTTAGCCCATCAACTACTGAAAATATTTTTTGACTACCTGATGTATAAAAAATTCCATTTCAGTCCTTTTGTTAGGGAACCATCCTAGAAATCTCCCAATTGAGATATAGTTTTTTTTTTAAATATTACTTTCTCATTGCAAGTTGAGATACTCAACATGGCTAGAGGTTGCGATCAAGAATCTCGTTGAACCAAATAGAGACTAATAAATCAAACACTACTCTATTGAATCTTTCATCGGTTTGAACTTCGAAGTTTCATTGAACAAGACACCCCATCAACTTCAAGTGTATTCCACCAAGAATTAATCCACATAAGTGATTTAACATCAATAGAAAATTCCACACATATTGCAAGATTAAGATTAAAGAGGAAGTTGAACAAAGTCAAAGTTGCACTTAGAAATAAGTATGGAATTACACCTTTTGGACATTCAACTTTTTAAGTTGATTATTTAAGTTCCCATTTTTCCAAACTTAGATAAATTCCATACTGGTAATGATGATGGGGAGAATTTAGGTGATGGGCTTTGAATCCAAAGACATCAGAGAGCTAAGATTCATGGGGTGCATGTAAGTGATTGAGCCCTTCAAGATTTGTTTCACAATGAGTCTGTTGGCCTTTTCTGATGGATGAAATGCATCCCAAAACACATACTCATCTCTGTTTGGGCACAAACTTGATAGTGGCGTGCAAAGCCCCATTCCATTGTATGGTCCTTGTCCACAACAAGCCATCTTTGATGTTGTAAATCCTGCACAATATTAGTATAATATTAAGTTTTTCTTATTTTTGGTGAAAAATTAATCATCATTTAAGCATGAGATGATCTCAAAAGTTACTATTTATGAAACCATTCTTTCAATTTGTTATAGTTAAATATTTAAATATGGTTATCTTGAAAATACGTAAGACTTTCAATTCAGTCTTCTAAGGTATGTTCGATACACTAAACTAGATAGGATTACATATATAGGATAATGCATTAAAGTTTTACACATATTTGTTCATTAGTTTTGTACATTTTATCAAGTCCAAGTTACCACTAAACATGTGCTTAGTGACTTCACTTCATCGCACCCCTTCACTAATGGTAAAGGATTATTAATGCCTTTGTTGGCTTAGTTATTAATATTTTCATGTATAGTCGTGAGTTGCATAAAGTGACAATCTTTTTTATGTTACTCAATTATTCTATTTATGAATGGCATTCTTGTAACTTGTGGAAATTAAAGTACTCGATTTAGTCTTTTGACCCTGAAATTTTAGTTAGTGTTTTCATGCAACAACCACTAGGAACAAAATGACGTAAAAACTTGTCATTGAAGTTACCTTAACACATTATATACAAAACCACCAAAGCAATAATGGGTCGTGAGGTTCGGGTGAACGTACCATACGCTTTAGGATTGGTAATGAATTCTAAGTGCATTATGTTAGTGTTAGCTCCAATGAAGGCTTTAGTGGATAAGTCTTTGTTGAGAGCATCAAGCATTTGAACCAGTTGAGGATTGAAGAGAGAAGAAGCAAGTTGCAAATCAGCTGCACATTCACCAGCTCTGCTCCTTGTGGCCAATTCTGCAGGCACACATCCTAAAGGTCCTGTTCCTGTCACAAGAACCTTACCAACTCCAAGTTCGTATAGTCTCTACAATATACAAATCAAATAAAGCAATATTAGAAAATTGTGTGTAATTTTAAACAAAAAGATCTCTTTAAATTTTTGAATATATCTTTATAAACAAAACTCGACTATAATTATGTGTGCATGTTATGTTTGACAAAAAGGTTTACATCATGTTAAATGAAATGCAAAATGTCAAAGTATATCTATATTAACAAAGATTTAGGGTCCATTTAACGTAACTCTTAAAACATCAAAAAATGATTCTGATATTAAAAAATTACTTTTGAACATGTTTGAATAATTTTCTAAAAGTGCTTTATCTGGTTAGAAGATTTTTTAGAAGAAGCTAGTATAAGATAACTTTTTCTCGAAGCTTCTCTTCAAGAAGTAGAAGTCAAAAATAGAAGTTGTGTCAAACTGGTCAGTATTCATCCTCAAACTTTGATCTGTCACTCGACTGGAAGAAAGAGGGATTTTTACCTTCAAAATTTTTTGGTACTCAGAAATGAGAAAGGGGATATAAGCTTTGAGGCTAAATTGGAGAGACCTAGCAGTAGAAGGTAGCAAGTAATAGTTATTGACAAAATCATTGCCACCCAATGTAACCAAAACCAGTGCTTCCTTTATGAGTTTCTTCATCGCCGCTTCTCCTATAAGTGCCTTCACTCTTTCCTGGTACTGCTGGAAATAGTCTAGTTGTTGGGGAATTCGAATGATATTTACCTGGATTGGACAAGATTTGTCAATCGTCACATCATATCTAGTATACAGTATAGTTAAGTCATAACATAATCAAACCGTGATTAGGTAACTTACAAACTGGATTCCAGTGTCATTAAGTATGCCGACCCCAGCAGATGCAAAATTGGAACCAGTAAGTAATTTCTGCCCAGTGAGATCTGGACTCAAGTATGGCATGTTAGGCTCCCAACCCATCTCTTCACCTAATATAATAAGAACACAACAAATCAACAGCACAAGGTTACACACACATAATTACATGTAGATATGAACGACATAAACAAATAAAATATGCATGCATGTATGACATCTGTCGACTGTCATTGAATTCTATGAAATTTCAAGAATATCTGTTGCTGTCATTTTCATATTCTTTTTTCTCCATGCATTAATTTTCCCTCGTAGACTTCTATCACCTAATAATTTTCTTGATTGGAGTAATATATATTATAATTTTCTACAAATTACCAAGAAAATACTGATTTTACGTTAAAAATAATCATAAAAAGATCACAATAAACTGTAAACCTTAAACCCTAAAATATATGAGTAAGACAGATTGAAAAAACAGTAGAAATTATACTGATTAAGTCAGGAATGTTAAGGCCATTAGAAAAACGGCCGGTGGGGCGGTGGGTGGGGTAATCAATGCCGTAAGGAGGTGAATCCGCCCTTGCGCTGGTGGCCAAGTAGTTGTTGTTTCCAATGTCGACCAACGAGTCTCCAAACACAAAGAATGCTGGATGTCCACCACTACCAGCTCCTTCACAAACAGTATCATTTCCAACTGCCAGAATCAACACTAAAACAATTATAAAACCTGCATCCATTTGATCAATTGTATATTCAGCACTTTTTTATTATTTATGAATATAAATATATGTGCATACACATGGAGAGAAATACTTTGAGGAGAAATCTTGTGTTCTGGCTTGAAATGAAAACGATATATAAATAGATGTACGTGTGAATGTGTTTATACACATTACGTATGCATGCAACTGACCTGTAGAATTATTAGTTAAATGACAAGGAGTATTAAATTTGGCAGATGTAACTCGAGTTTATTTTCATATATTCGGGGTTAAACTATATGAATACTAAAGCCATTTACTTTATCTAAGTTAAAAACTTACATTGACAAAGATTTGGAATGTATTTATCCTAACAGTGGAATTCGTATTTTCTTCGATGGTTGTTTGTGATAGCTTAAAAGTTGCTAAAACATCGAGGTTAAAATCAACAATTAATTTTAACCATACATTACATGCGATCCACTACTTTTTAACGACATATTTCATCAATTCTTATCGAAATCTACTAATTTTTTTTTATCAAACTACCCTCGATTGTGCTTGAGATAACGTATACCAATGATTTTGCGTACTTTCTTAAATTGTATTTTGTCGTTACTCGAAATCTTGTTGAAATTTACGGATATGTTTGGACGGAAACTTATAATTAGAAGTTATGCCCTTACTTGGTCCAGTTAAAAATTTAATTGAATTGAAGCTAAACTCAAAATAATTAATTTTAATTATATATTTCATGTAATTCATAGCTTTTTAACGACACAATCTATCAACTTGTATCAAAATCTATTAAACATCTTGTTTTTATCTAAATCGGTCACGGACAATATATTTTCTTGCATGGCAATTGTGGTACGAGGCTAAAAGACTAAAAGCGAAGGATCGAAATTATTATTAACTTAATTAACAACATTAAGAATTTCTCAATAGATTCATTCCCATGGTAATTTGATTCCTTTAGGGAAAACGTGGAATGTTCAAATTTATGATAATTAATGTCTTCCAATCCGTTAGGTGAAAATGCAGTTTTGCATTTATTGATAATTAAATGTAATTTTGGACGACTGTAACCTAATTAACCCACGTACCCTCTCGAATTTCAAGTTGCGTCCAACACTCCAACATTTACTCGCCGGTAATTCGACTGAAATTAATTGTTTTGACATTTGTTTTCAGTTTTTAGATTAAAAAAAGAAAGAAAAACGAAAGAATCAATAAGGAAAATAATTTGAGAATTTGTCATATAACTAAGACTTCGTTTGAGCCCTATTTTTTTTTTTTTTTTCAAGAAATGCATTTTATAATAGTATTATAATGGAGAATGCGTAGTTAAAAATTAAGGAAAAATTTTAAATTTGCATGTAATATTAGGGCTGGACAAANAATTTTTTATATTAAATTAATTAAATAATTTTAATTTTTTCTAAACAAATTAGCAAATTTAAATAATTTTCTACTTTTTAGTATTTGTATATATTGAATTAATCTTATTGGATAGCTTGTTATTTATATGTTTTTAAATTGAGTTACGTTAATTTGTAATAGCTACAAATGAACAAATTATTAGTTATATTTATGTAGTGTTTTTGTAAATGTTAAAAAATTTACTTATGGTACGAAATTGAACAGAATCGAACCCGCACGGTTCCATAATTATATTTGGACCCGACGATTCCATTTATTAAATACTCGAAAATTTTTGGTTCGGTTCTCAAGAGAACTGAATCGAATCGGACCATATCCAACCCTACGTAATATTATTTTATTAAAGAATATGTGGGTTGAAATGATGTCAAATCATTGTTCAAAAATATATTTTTATGGAAAACATAGGGCTCAAACAATGACTAATTATTTTGACATTCATTTATCCAATTGCTTTGGTTTTCTGGATTTAGTGTAATTATGTGTAATTTCTGCCAAACAGGGCTTAAAGATAAAACAAGCAAAACAGCCTGAATTACAATATAAAGTTACAGATTGAAAAATAATCCAATTAAAAATACTTTTAAATCAAATAAGCATGCCACAATCCACGAGATTTCGACTTTTTTTTTTGTTTAAAATCACACCACATCAAATTTGAACTTAAGAAAAGGGATTTTCCTTTTTTTAAGTCCTGGAATCCAATGCCATGATAGTGCTGAGGTTCATGGGGTTCATAAACTTATTTGAACCAGTAATGATTTGTTGCACAATAATTCTGTTGGCCCTTTCAGATGGATGGAAAGCATCCCAAAATGCGTACACATCTCTGTTTGGGCATAAATTGGATATTGGCGTGCACAATCCAAGCCCATTGTATGGTCCTTGTCAGCAACAAGCTATTTTTGATGTAATAAATCCTGCCAAAATAAGGGGTCAAACCATTACTTATAAACTCGAAATAGATATTGACAGTCAAGCCCATTGTATGGTCCTTGTCCGCAACATGCTATTTTTGATGTAATAAATCCTGCCAAAATTAGGGGTCAAACCATTACTTTTAAACTCGAAATAGATATTGACAGGTCAAATCACATGGTCGCCTATGTACTAATTGAACTAGTTTCAACTATACTTCACTCATGCATGTTGACACACATACACACATTGTTACTCGAGCATACGAGTGGGCACGTACACATACACTCAACTATAGTTTTTTCGAAAGGACAATCTTATTTAAATCTTTTAGCATGATCTTTTTGTGTCACCTTTTTGAAAGACTAATATGTGACTTTTGTATAACTAGATCCCATATCTTAGAAAGTATATTTAATGACAGCAGTCCAACGACGTATATAGGTGTAGTCCGATACAGTCCCCGACCCATTTAATTTTTTTAATATAAAAAATTTACGTGTAATTTTTTTTAAAAAACATATTAGATCGACTTGTAGTTCAGTCATAGATCCATCCCCAGACAGCACATTAAATTGCTGAATATTGTTGCATCCCTACTTGGCTACTTGAGATGAAACTTCAATGATTTCACAGCTCTCCAAGAAAACTTATGAATATTGGTGATGGGCATGGGAGTCCATTTTTAATTTTTAACAATGAATGTGACTAAACCTTATCATAAACTGACAAAAGATCATACTGTTCGTAATTTGTGGTTTTCTCGCTTTCCTAGTTCTGCGTGTTATGAAATATTTGGATATGTTCTTATTTAGGATATGTTCTTATTTACAAATTTTCTTATTTAATTATAATCAACACTGAACCGTCTAACTAATTAGTAGTGGTGGCTGGACAATCCAAGAAAAGCCCAGTACGACTGGCTGTGGAGGGCTTGGAACTCTGGCCCGAGGTGCATATGCCCATCCCAGCTCCTCTCGACCCAGCCCACCTTGGGATTGGCCTATGGGCCACAGAGGGCCAGTCTACCCAAAATTTGGAAGGGAAATTACAAAAAATCAAGCATTTAATTTTTCAAATTCAAAATTCAGATGTGAATTTTATTTAATAAAAAAT